GTTTATCAGGCTAAATACCACAACAGAAAAACAAGGCAGAAAAACAGTTTTACACACAGGGCATTAAGTTCATTCAAGGAAATTGTGATGATTCTGGAAATGGCCTCATACAGGGAATTCCAACTTGTGGATGTTGGTACCATTAGTTTCCTGCGGCTGACTTCCTCCACCTGTTCAGAGGCTAATGTTGATCGACTTGTTCTAGTCCAAAGAGCAGAACATTTTGCAATGCTACTCCTATATACAGCCTTGGTGTCTGCACAGGAATTTAGACATTTATCAACATCGAAATCTGAAATCAAGTTAATTGTGTGTGATGCACATCTGCAGTGTGGAGGGAGGCTAAACTGTGCATCACCAGATGCGGTTGAAAGAGCTTCTATGACATCAGTAAAGGTCGGTTCCTCGTCATCACCTTCTTCATTTTCAGATTCAGACTCCAAATGACAGGGCTGAACTGTTACCCCCATAAAACATTTATTATTTACCGTCCAGATGTCAGCGGTGGTGGAAACAAACTCTACCTCTTTGAGTGTAGCCTTCAAGATAGAGTTCATTTTGTTATATTTTCTCTCAAGGTATCCTACAAATGACTTTCTCTGGAGCAGCTTGACACCACTTTTAGTTACGATGCGTCAGAATGACTCAGAGTCTACAGTGGAAATCGGCAACATGTCCTCGACAATACAGCCTGCGACGAGCTTCTTCAGTTCCACGACACTAAGTCCTGTCGCTCTTACATCTATTTTAACCTGTTTAGCAGGAGAGGACAGCAGCTCCGACCGTGCTCATAAAACAGGCTGGTTGACCAGGTGCAGCACTTAAGCAGCATTTTACGATGAGGATTTATGGGATTTTCTGACTGGAATACATTTAAAGATAGTTATCAGCTATCTTTTTGTGATAGTTCACATAGGTCATATCAAGAAAAAAAAATGTTCATTTCCACCTAATTTACTTACTTGCAGTTCCCATATCCACGCATGCAAAATCACATAATTGCACTGTGAAACTTTTAACCACTAGCTTCTCCTTTCCTGCTACCAAACCACCTCCTGTCTGTCAAAAGTCTGTGGAAAATCAAAACTATCTTTGATTTCTTTAAGAATTAGAAAATGTTGTTTGCTTTAGTTATAAGTGGGTAGGATGACATTTGCAGATAAAATTTTGGGTTTTTACCTACCTAATGATTAAAAAAAAAAAAGGGTCCAAATCTCAAGATGCTTTTTTTTTCACTAGTGTCAATTTATTGATGCAGAATAATTGCTAGACAAGGCAAGCAGTGATTTGACAAGCCAAGCTAGACAACCTTTGTCTGAACAGCCAGGTTATATTCCCTAACTGTGTTTCCAGGTGTATCCGCTCTGTGCCAATTCCCTATTGCATATATATTGTCTGAATCTCACTCTGTTCTTTTCTCCCCCTTTGTGGAAGTAGTGTCTGTCTGTTTGTCTATTTCTGCCCTGCTTAGTTTTTGTATTTTCCTTTTTCTTTTTTTCCAACATTAAAACTGTGATTTTTACATCTCTCATTTCCCCTTACTTGACCTTCCTGTCCCATCTCCAGTTTGTTCAAAATGTTGCTGCTAGGCTCCTCACAGACACCCCAAAAAGAGATCATATTACAGCTGTTTTAACTTCTCTCCAGTGGTTGCCAACTGTTTGTCTACAAAATTCTTCATGGTTTGGCTGCTTTCTACATCTTTGGCCACTTACAGCCCTGTTCAGCTTCCAGATCCCTCTGATCAGCTGAGCAGATGCTTCTGACTTTTTCTCTGCTCTGTATTTAAAGTCAAAGAGACCTGCATTCTTGTGGTTGTCCCTGACCTGTGGAAGAGCATTGCCCTCATAGTCAATTGAGCTCCCTCCACTGAGTCATTTAAAACTAGACTCAAAACTTATTTCCCGCTGGCATTTGAGTCTGTCTGATTTGTTCATGTGTTTGTGTCATGTGTATGTTTAGCACCTACTATGTATTTTACTTGTTTTTTAAAATCTATTCCTGTTTCCTTCTGGTTTTGTTTTGTTCATTTTGCTTTTTGTACGGCGCCTGAAAAAGAGACTCGTCAAAATAAGCTTATGTGTTGGTTTTATAAGGAAGATCTGTAATCCATTATCTGCCCCCTTTCTTGGATGTTAGACCGTTACTTACAATTAAGTACTCAGATCCATATAAAAGGACATTTTTATATTTATTTTTAAGCCCAGATAAATATAAACCCTGGTAAATGTGTTGTTTGA